GTTGTCATACTGAAAGCTTTCCAATCTATTGAATCTATCCTTTTTGTTCTTGCCTGCAACAGCAATCAACACTCTACCATCTATTTACTGTTGTTTTGTACGTCACTGCACGTTTGAGCCAGCTACACTGCACTCGTGTGTGTATATGTGTACCGTCTGCCTGAATATCTATAGTCACATGACCAGTGCATGGTTACATCATCAAGAGTACAGATAGCTGTACTGTGGGGTGCTGAAGAACGGTTGGGTTAGGTGAAAAACGGACATGCAGGCTGGAATTTCACCCTGGCACAGCATACCAATGTATAGACAGTAACTCAACTGTGCATAAACCATAGTACATGAAAATAGGAATGCTCTAGGCTACTACCAGGCTGACCCCCCAGTTCTTTCTAACCCAACAGTACAGTGTAAGTTTGACATCATCTACATGCAGTGGATATCCGCAAAGTTACATGGTGCAATGTACTATGTGTACTGGGGGTAATAAAATAATGACCTCTCTGGAATGGTGCCCTCTATTGGGGGTAATAATGCCTTCTCTGGAATGATGCCCTCTATTGGGGGTAATAATGCCCTCTCTGGAATGGTGCACTCTTTTGGGGGTAATACTGCCCTCTCTGGAATGATGCCCTGGGTGCAGTGCAGACCGTGACTGAATGCTTGAGATCAAGGAAATACATTACAGCTGTATCATGTGTGATGAGGTGATGCAGCATGGCCGCGGTGCAGTGTGGACTGAGAGCAATGGAGTTTCCGCGCGTCTCATCACACCAAGACTAGATAAACTCTTCGTCACAGTCATTAGGAGCAGGAGAGTGCCGGCTACAGCTGATCAAGCGTACCACCAGCAACAATGAATGTATTTCATTAAATGGTGGCATTGGTGTCAATATTGACAAACACGTACATCAGCAATGGACTATCAGAGCAGAAGCAGAAGAGCAGTGAACACCATCAGTATAATTATACTGTATATACATATCTATAAGACTATTGTAGAGTGTACTCAGCACTTGCTGGTGACAATAACCACATCAACAAAACCAACAGAAGAATCGTGACGGAGAGCTACGTAGTGTGCAACAGTATGAACAGAAGTATTGTCTGCAACATCAGCAGTTGCACTACCAGTAACATGATGTATTCTTGTGTGTATACTTGACTGGGAGGAATTATATGCGTAAATCCTAGAATAAGCAGAAAACTGATGATTGAACTGTTTCTTCAGCAGAGTCATGCATGCTACACAATACAATCATTGAAAACAGTACCCACACAAATTACATTCTACTCAAGTGAATTCAATACTCAGTGTGATGTGTGCTGCACGCCTACACACATACACACACATACACACACGCGCACACACACACACACACACACACACACACACACACACACACACACACACACACACACACACACACACACACACACACACACACACACATACAAGCACGCACGCACGCGCGCACACACACACACACACACACACACACACACACACACACACACACATACACACACACACACACACACACACACACACACACACACTCACACACACTCACACACACACACACACACACACACCTTGACCTTGACCTTGATCTTGCCCATTGCGTACGCAATGATAGCGAATGTCGGAAAGTTCAAGTGAGAACACGAGCGCAGAACTTGGTATGTCGTTTCAGATCTCCTGGTCGACGAAATGGGCGTCCACAGACACATAGAAGAGGATCAGGAGCGGGCCGTGGCGGTGGGGTGCTACTGACAACTTGTCTCCAGCCGGGACGATCTTGGCAACTCTCAAGCCAGGTGGTCACGCCGAGGTCCGCCAGGTCAGTCGACACCACATCTCGCCACCTCTTCTTCGGGCCGCGACGAGGACGGGGGGCAGGCAGCTCGCCGAACGGCAATTGCTTCGGTGTGCCAGCACACACACACACACACACACACACATCATTCTGGAAGTTGTGCAATCATTGACTGTTGGTTGGTAGATCAAACTTGAACAATACATCAGCTCTGTCCTTGCCTACTCCTTCAGCAACGGCTGGAAGTGATAGAAAGTTTTTAAAGAAGACATTATACATGCATGCACACACACACGCACGCGCGCGCACGCACGCGCGCACGCACGCACACACACACACACACGCACACACAAACACACACACACACAAACACACGCACACACACACACACGATGCACACAAAGATGCATGCACAACCACACGTACGCACACACACACACACACACATGCACACAAATCGCACAAAAATGTTGGCCTTCTGGAAAGACAGGCAGTTCGTAGGCAGTACGGTCATTCTCGTATACAAATTCAACACACAAAGAAATGACCTGCATATAGAAAATAGAAAAGAAAAATGACCAAGGAACTACAAGTTACGCTATGATGTCCACTAACACCACCATTAACCCAGGCCCACGTGTACACACCCAGGTCTCCGGGCATACCTCTGCATATGCACATGCGCAAGCGCATGCGCACGCACACACACACATTCATGTACACAAACATAATTGCAGACACTCCAACGCCCCGTCTGTGCGTACAACGACGTACTCGCGCACTCACTCACAAGCGATCAGCACATAAGTTGGGAGTTGCCATGACTTCATTTTGATTACTTCAGCAAAGTGATGATAGACCAGTTCCAAGAAAGCAAACGATAATATTTGCGTCATATCATCACATTCGGTCGTCAGTAATTCACACTGCCCACCGGGGGCAGACGCACGAACGGCCCACCATCATAATTATTGTATGTGTGTGGTGTGACGCCTCATGCCAGGCAGTTGTGTGAGTTCTTGGCGTCGGTGGTCGTTTGTTTGCCCTCGCTGGGCAGTATGAGGTCGGCCCTAGCGGGCAGTATGCTTTTGCCCTTGGTGGGCAGGTTGTCGGCCTCGGTGGCTGTTCGTTTGCTCAATAGGCAGTATGATTGAGCCCTCGGTGGGCAGTATATAATCGGCCCACGGTGGGCAGCATTCTTTGGCCCTCGGTGGGTACTACGCTTTATCCCTTGGCGGGAAGTTTGCTGTAGCCCTCGGGGACAGGCTATTGACCTTGACGGCCGTTGTGCACCCTCGGTTGGGTGGTATGCTTTAGCATTCAGTAGGCAGGTTTCAGGCCTCGGCGGCCGTTCGTGCGCCCTCGGTTGGGCTATAATCAAGCGCCCTCGGTGGTGCTATGATCATGCGCCTTCGGTCGGGCTATAATCATGCGCCCTCGTCGGGCTATAATCATGCGCTCTCGGTCGGGCTATAATCATGCGCCCTCGGTTGGGCTATAATCATGCGCTCTCGGTCGGGCTATAATCATGCGCCCTCGGTCGGGCTTTAATCATGCGCTCTCGGTCGGGCTATAATCATGCGCTCTCGGTCGGGCTATAATCATGCGCTCTCGATCGGGCTATAATCATGCGCTCTCGGTCGGGCTATAATCATGCGCTCTCGGTCGGGCTATAATCATGTGCTCTCGGTCGGGCTATAATCATGCGCTCTCGGTCGGGCTATAATCATGCACTCTCGGTCGGGCTATAATTATGCGCTCTCGATCGGGCTATAATCATGCGCCCTCGGTCGGGCTATACTCTTCTCTCGCGCCCTAAGTTGGGCAGTATGCTTTAACCCTCGATGGGTAAGCTGTAGGCCTGGGCAGCCGTTCATACGCCCGCAGCGGGCATGTTTCTGGCCATGTCTGCCATTTGTGCGCCCTCGGTGGGCAGTATGCTAACGGTCCACAGCAGGCAGGATTACTTAGCCCTCAGTGGCTTGGCTGTTGATCTCCCCAGCCGCTCATGTCAATGGCCCACGGTGGGCAGCTGCAGGCTAGCCCTCGGTGACCAAGAACTCACACAACTGCCTGGCATGAGGCGTCACACCACACACATGCAATATGATGGTGGGCCATTCGTGCGTCTGCCGCCGGTGGGCGGTGCGAATTACTGACGACCGAATGTGATGATATGACGCAAATATTATCGTCGCTGTCTTGGAACTGGTCTATCATCACATACTATTATATTTAATACATTTAATCAAAATGAAGTCATGGCAACCCCCAAACCTATGTGTTAATTGCTTGTGAGTGTGTGCGCGAGTACACCGTTGTACGCACAGACGGAGTGTCTGCTATTATGTTTATGCACATGAATGTGCGTGTGTGTGTGTGTGTGTGTGTGTGCGTGCGTGCGTGTGTGTGTGTGTGCGTGTGTGTGTGTGTGTGTGTGTGTGTGTGTGTGCGTGCGTGCGTGCGTGTGTGCGTGTGTGTGTGTGTGTGTGTGCGTGTGTGTGCGTGTGACCTGACTTGCGTGTGTACCCGTGGGCCTGGGTTAAAAGCTAAAACTGCATTTTGACACATGAAGAAATCAATTGGAAAGGAACGCTCCTTCACATCCTGACAATTCAAGAGCTTGAAGAAGACACGTCTTCCGATATGACACCATAACACTAACAGGATGTCTGTACAATTTTGCCAGCTTGTAAACCGTGCAGGGACAGTCACGTGACACACACTCACAGCAATATGCCAATATTGCGCGTGTGCCGGGGCTAACTAGACTTTGCTGTGCAAAGCCTACATGTTACTGAACAATCAGCTCATGCGATACCATTGCACGACACTGACCGACGCTACTGGCATTCTACAACTAACTGGCTAAAGCGCGATGCACAATATCACTTATGCGACGCGATGAGCGACGAGCAATGCGATCGAAATGTTTTTCTGCAAAATTTTGAATCGCACCTCCGTCGCAGGTCTCATCGCGGAAAGTTGAGCCTAGTTCAACTTCTGCGACAAGCGACGAGCGATGCGCATCACTTTCTACACGGCGGGCGCACATGACAGCTCGCGTACAGTTTTGGACTGTGCATGCCCTGCAACGATGTGCCGTGCATTGTGCATCGAAGACTCTTCGTGCGATTCGAAAAAAGACTTTCACTCGACGCTCAGATATTGTGCATCGCGCTTTACTGCTCCCTGATACAGACCAGCTGAGGTGGACCGGAAAGTTTGCTGCAGACTTTATGGTACTGGTCAAGTACACACATCTGTAGATGGAGAGTCTGGCTAGGGTGACTAGTGTAGTGTCTGTCTGATCATCATTATTCATCAACAAACAGGTGTACCCGTATTTCATACACTGATCAACACTGTACATCTACTACTGTACAACACATACCTGGGAATATGCTGATGTTGTGCAACGTCTTCCTGCAATCAATCCGAGATGAACTCCAGGACAGTAGAGTTGTTATACCGTAGCTCGGAATTGTACAATGGCCGTCGAAGTTTGTCCATAGAGCATGGGTTATCGTACAAGTGTACACCCACCATCCTCATGATGCCTGGTGACTGCAGCATGGCTTGAATGCTATCATCGGTGATCTTGCAGTACTCGAGGCTGATCAATCTCAAGCTTGTGTTCTTCCTCATCATATCCACCAGGGCATGCACTGTGGCATCATCAATCTCATTGTTTGCCATATCCATCCATTCAATACGCGCATGGTGATGGAGAGAGTGTAGGATACTTGCACCAACTTCATCACTCATGCCCGTCCTGGCAAATGAAATGAAGCGCAGCCGGTGGAATCCAGAGAGAAGCTGGCATAGCAGTTTGAAATCAGCATGACTGGGCTGTATATCATGAAACACTGGGTTGTGCTGCAGACCCAATGCACTGACATGTGACTGTAGTGATGTCACTGCTTGTATTACACTCACAACACCAGATAGATGTATCCTATTGATGGTCAGACGAAGGTATTTCAGCACTGTGTTGTGAGCAAGGCCAGATGTTGCCAGAGCAGTTGCTCCAGCATCGGTGATGTTACACAGTGCTATGTCCAGTAGGTCTAGGTCAGTGTTGGTTGCAAGGTTCTGACCAAGTGATGACATCATAGAGTCATCAACCTTACTCTGTAGGTGACGACCAAATACACTGACCAGATGATCAATTGACATAGTCCGTACTGAAGTACCAGTAGCATAGCGGCTGCCAATGTCGATTACGTCACCACCACATTGACTAGACGTAGCCACTTCCTGTAGAAGACGGATTGTTACACCACTGCCGCTCAGATAAACCTTGCATGGTGGTAGTGTTGTGCTGACACTCCCAGTGTGCTCACGACCGCGACGAGCTTGCAGAAAGTCAACCACACTAGCGGCTAGCTCATCAGTCAGTCTGTTGTTGCTCAAGAAGAGATGCTGTATGGTATCATGAGAATGGAGACTGGATAGTACACATGACACGTCACTGTTGGAGAGTGAGTTGTCACTCAGCCATAGAGCTTCAAGGTGTGGTAACTGTGTGACCAGTGTTGCCAGGTCAGATCCACATCCACTATCCAGACTGCACCTTGACAGTGCTAGATCTGTGAGATGGTTACACGGAGCCAAGTTGGTCACAAATGCTGCCAGACCATCATTGCCAAGTACTGTATAGTGTGCATCCAGGACCGTTAGACTTGGGTGTTTTACACATCCAGCAAGTGCTGCTCCATCTGCAGATCCACTGGTCAACCTTGTGTTGCTAATGTCAAGAACCTGGAGGGTACGCCGTGTTGATCTAGAGAGTGTGCTTGATATGCTTGCCAATGGTGCTGCAGTGAGATGGGCACCACGCAAAGTCACCTTGACGCATTTATCCAGTTGATCAGACAGCAAAATGACACTGTCACTTGACAGATTACAATCGCTGAGATCCAGAGACTTTACATGGTCCACAAGCTCCAAAACAGTACGTAAAGCCATCACATCAACAACTTCAAGGTGGATTCCACTAACATCAATTCCATCACTGGCCAGGAGGTTGGCTGACATAGCATAGCAGCTATGTGTGACTATGTCAGTGTCCTGATTGGGATTTCCTAGAGTGCGGTTATGTTGGAGTGAAATGCGGTTTTCCATCAAACATCTCATCATGAACAGAAGCATCTTCTTCTTGCTCCTGACAGTATGATCACTGATGCTGTTTTCAGACTGTAGAGCCAACAATGATGAAAATAGAATGTCTGGCTTTAGTGCTCCAAAGACAAACTGCCAGAAGACAAGTGTGTTCAAGTCTGTGCCGACAGTGTTGATGCAGCTGCGGATGATGTCTACGCACGAGTCAGAAGAAATGATGCATCTCGATGCACACCACTCTTGCAGTGTCAAGTGAGTCAAGGACACAGTCTGAGTGGAACCGACGAACGACGGATGCATACCAGGGTTGAGCAGTAAGCCGAGATCTTGACAAATGGACTGGTGGAGGGTTGACAGCGTGGATGTAAAAGTAGCCATGCCCCTTTGATATGTTGCAAGACACATTGTGTAGAGATTGTGCAATGCCTTGACTAGCTCCACAGCATGGTGATCACACTCCTCATCATTGTTGCTTGTCTCCTTCACATAGCGCTCCAAATGATGTTCTATTACCACGGGGATACTGACAAGATCACCACAACTGAAGTGCCGGCCA